TGTTTTCTTCCGCGCCTTCATTTATATTTCCTTCTTTCTTTCGTTTGTATGCGCGTTCACGACTTTTCTAAGCACCTGCTAAAATAGGTCCTTCCGTTTGTCTGTTCTCCTGTCTGTACGTGTGATACGTCTCGATAGCACAAAAATCGATTCTGACGAGATTTTGAATTGGAGGGTTTTACGAAGAATCGTCGAGCCATTTTTTTTAATTAGTTCGGGGAGTTTTAACGAGCACTCTACACAAGTATGATTACGTGTTCGGTATTATCTACCCAACGCATCTACCAAAGTGTGCCCTATACCGTATGCTTCTACAGCATTTTTCTACCTCAGTTGCTCTTTTGTTAATTTTTTCCACATTTATTTTCATTTAATGTTTTGGATATTCTTTCTCATACTATTCGTTTGTAATTACGTATTTTTCCTTCTTTCTCCGAGCCCTTATTTCTTCTACACTGATTGTAACGATTAAATTGAATGCCGTATTCGTTGAGTATAAAGTTGTCAAAAGCTTCCTTTACAAACTCTGCCTCCACTCAAACGCTGGCAGGCAGAGAATTTTATGGTTAAAATAAATTCTTGGTCTGTACTAAATTTAAAATTCGTACTTCTTGTTATGCTGTTCCCGGAGCAGTAATGCATATCTTTCGTTTCGTATTCAGGAGCAGGGTTGAAATAACGCCTCTTTAAAAAATTTGCTTCTGGGTTCTTATTTCCTGATGTAAAATCCGATCTTCTCTTATTGCGTTCTGTCTCTTTGCGTTTCTTGGCAACCAGTTCACTTCCCTTAAAACCGTTTGATATGGAAACGAAACAAAGGCGACGTGTCGGAAAACAGAATTCGCGCTTCCACCATTATGATGATTTTCGGCAGAAGGAACCCGGTTATCGGTAGATCGGATGCAGTGTCGATGATATCTGCACCTGCGTTATTCGGGAACGAGTTTCCTCGTGAATAACGCGGAGAGTGAAGACAGAAGAAGGAAAAGATAGTCACTGTGACGCAAAGTAATCCCCCATACGTTACAGAAATAAAATATGACGGAAACCTTTACGTAACTTCCGTGGACACTTCCGTACTTCCGAATGATTGATTTTAGACAACGTGATTACACTGTATCTGGTTCAGAGGTTTTGCAGCTGCCCTGGGAAAATATGGAGCTCCAAAGACACAACGTCTTTTAAACATGCGGTCCTCTTTTCAGTTTGCTACGTGCGGTATGTGTCGCCGTACGTCATAGCGAGAAAAAGTTTTTCACATTAGTATGAACTGTTCGCATTTAATGCATGCTGATTTTGTAACCAGCATGTATAACGTATCGCCTGTTGCTTCGATATAAATTCTGCCTTCTTAACTTGTCAAGACGGACTTTGTGAGTTGGTGTAATATATATAGAATGTTCCAAAAAGATGTATACACACGTTCGGTGACTGCAGTAAAGACATTTTAATAAACGAAACCATTACATACGCCAGTATTGACACTTCGCGAATTAGCGATTCTATTATGCGTGTTAAAAATGACCACCGTTGGCTTCGTGGCGCAGTTTGCAGCGTTCATCGACTGACTGGCCGGGGAACGCCGTGTACACATCTTTCGGGACGGCCTGTATTTCTGCACGCGCCTTTTGTACTTGTGCCTCAGAAGTGAGAGCTTTGTGTTGCAGGGTACAACACCTACACTTACAATGAGACTGCCCACACGGAACGGGTCGCTGACGAGATCCTGAGTGTGAGGTACGAGGACGGCAAGTGGAGTAAGCCGTACTACGACTGCGGCGGAGGCAACATATGGATGCTGACCTACACAGTTCCCTTCTTCGGTTTCCACAACGACACTTACTTCTTCAAGTGAGTACCACTTCCCACGCATGTTACAGCTGCATCATGCCTGCCTTGTCTTGTACCCTTTACAAGCAAACTCTCTTGCGAGTATAGAAGCCATCGAGGTTCAAGAACGGGAAATGGATACTTATTCCTTAATTTACGTTGGGCCCGCTGTGCAGTTTGCCTACTGACAGTAATGCAATTTGTAACTGATGCATACATATTATCGACTAGCAAATCTAGCGTTCGAACACGTCGTCGTTTACGTATGGCGAAAAATGTTTTCGATTTAAGTCTCACGATCGCACAACCCCGCTTTAGTCAATGTGATTGATACATATTTTTGAAGGAAAACTGATGAATGTACACGTCGTCAGTGATGTGGCAGAAGGCATGTTGTTTGTAAACAGCTCCGCTAACACCTTCTCTTTTCTCGTACTGGAGTCAGGTCTGCATACCAGTGTAAGTATGTCCGTCACAGATCATGTAGGATAACAGCTACTTAGCGTATCAACTTGTCCCGACGTGTAGGCTTTGCTTCGTCATACCGAAATCTCGTTGCATAATATGTGTGTCCCTCGTCATGAGTCTGTATGATTTATATACCACGTCATCGTTTACGTGTTACAGACGCTACCTCGTGCATTTTCTGTCCGCAGGGATTTTTTTAATCTCCTGCTGATGGTAAATGCGTAACAGCACCTGTATCACATAGCCTGGGTGTGCTGATTACAAAAGAACGAACACGCGTGTGTATAAAACGCATACACACGCATATCAGCTGCATATTTAGAAAGACATGTTTGGGTGCGTAATTATACTTCGTATAAAATCAACGGGCACAAAGAGAAAGTGGACCGCTCAAACAGTGTTTGTAAATGGTTTGCACAGAAAATGTCTGCACTGTAGGTATATTAGAGTTCATGATGATAACAATAACAGCAGCAGCAGCAGTACAAGTCGAGGAATATCCCACTTTAAGGCAGCATTTAGAGAAGTCTACTGCAGCTTTGAAGGTACTTAACAGAGAAAACGCTGGTGGCTATAGCAACAAGAAACTGTTTTCATCCACCCTCATTCACATTCTTCGTCCGTTCTTGTGTCGCGAAAGGTGATTAATCATGTTCTGGAAGATATTCGCACTTAATGAACTCTCACCTCAAGAACAAGTTGAATGCTTATTTTGAACTTGCTTAATATGTTGCTCAGCCCAGAGAGTTAACAATTAAACAATAGTTCAGAAAGTCCAAATTATTTTTTTTCGGAATTCCTTATAGGGAGGACCAGGTTGTTATTTTAGGGACGGACTGAAAGAGCTTATAGCAGAAGAATGAGGCAAAGACTGGATGCAGATGATAAAATGCGCCTTAGAGTAACAGTGTGTGAACTTGCATTCATCTGACTAAGGTTAGGGCACAGTGGCGAGGTGTCATGGATGTGAGCCTGTACTTGAAAATTTCGTAAAATCACAGAATGTCTTCACCATCTGATAATCATTTTGAATTCGTGAAGAAAGTGCCTGTGCCATGAAATTTGTGATAGACGTTTCATATCCTGTCCGCAGAATATAGGAATAAAAATATAAAACTTTAGAACGACGGAATTGTGACACAACTCGTGTATTCGAGATTGACACGAATCTCTCGAGTGTCTGAGCACAATTTTGTGATATGAATATCATGACGTACGAAAGATAAGGCGGTTCAGAATTTATAGTTATATGGAATATAATATGTTCTCTACAAAATAGTGATGTTAATGTCCAGAACACAACATTTATGAAATTAATTAACCCTCTAGAAATGAAGCCGAAATATAGAGAGGGAAATTAGGGAAATAAAAGAGATTTTTTATACAAAAAACTCTTCTAAATCTTGTTTGAAAATTCTGTTCCTACCCAAAATAAAACACATCTCTGTGACAATGATAAATTGGTTAATGCAGTTTATTTAAGTAATCGCTGTTTATTCCGAGAATCATAGGGAGCCATAAATACACTTTGTTTTCAAAATGCAGAGTGTCTGATCGTTAAAGCAGGTGGTACATATACTTGCCACTCGGTTTCAAAGGATTGAGCTGCTAAGGAAAGTCTGACCGAAACTCGTGCAGTGGAAGTTGTTTTCGACAGCGTAAGAACCCCTACGAAATGTTATGCTTCAAACAGGGCAGGGAATGCTGAGCATATCTGGGACGCTTGGAATTCAAGGGCGCCCGCTCGATGATGCACAACAGACGATTCAGAGGACTTCGGCGGTTCGTGGCTTCAGTGTCCTGAGGTTTTGTTACTATGACAGTTCCCGGTTTCATGAAACCGCCTGATACTAAAGTAAATTCTTGTTCTCTAATTAACGTCATTCTATGATACAGAATTCGAGTTCTAGACTAAAATTAAACTTCAAGAATGTAAGAGCTCGCGGAGAGGGTTATCACAGCGGGAATGCCTCTATTTCTGCCCTCGTCTTGTTTCTGTCGGAACCGACACTTGTGACTTGAGTCCTTGCTTTCAGTGTCACTTGTGTCGTGGAATAAGCCTCAACAGCGTCCTACCAGATCTGTTCGGATTCATCTGAAGTGTTACCGCTAACGCAAGTTGTTAGATAGATGTTTGTTAGTGAAAACTACGAAGTAACGTTACCTTCGTGATATTCTGTGCATTAATTCACTCATTTATATCTGTAAAGATTATCAGAAATTCATACCAGTAGAAGAAAGACGATGGTCGGATAGAGATGCAGGAGAGATACTTGTTGTTATGTTAGTCATACAAGTAGGATGCGCACTCGCGCAAAGCCCTTTATCAGAGTGTAAGCTTTCATGTGGAAATATCTTTCCGTGTGTTATTTGAAGCGAACATGTAGGCCCGTAGTTACTTGTGTGTCGTTGTAGCTGTCGGAACAATTAACGCCTCGTCTAGAAATAGATTAAATTGCTTGAAAACGGATGGCAACATTTTCGGACGTGCAATATCATAATGACGTATTACCGGATGAAAATGAAGAGCGAATAAGGGAGTAGCGAAATGCTAGCACTTGGAGAATGAGTAAACCTGCAGGTATTTAACTTCAAATTAGTGAGGAATGGAAGGAGTGAGGTGATGGTGTAGAAAATGTAAATCAAAATGAAGTAGACGCGTGCGGGGGGGGGGGGGGAGCAGGGAGACAAATTGCCGCGTATAAATGCTTATATTTGCCTGTTTGAATGAGGAACAGCAGATACAGTGTGTAATGACTGTTATTGAACGACTTGATGCAACAAGGTTCTAAATCTTTTACCTCGTTTCTTCAGAAATATTAGAATTTATGATAGATCAGGATTGAAATAGTTGCAGTCTTATTTTTTAATTTTTTTTATTATCCGTAGCATCGGTCTTCAGTTGAACGTCGCATTAATATTTGCGACAGACAGAAGTACGCGTGTTAAGAGATTCTTTTAGCACAGCCCGTTTTATCCGGTATCGAAAAATACGGCACTACACTACATTAGATTACAGTAAGTGTTCACGTTTACGATTCGCCGAACGGTATTACAATTGTTTTAAACTAAGGATTAAAGTGTAATTTTAATAACGCAGGGGGAGAGAGGGGTACTGAAGTACGGAATTAAGGAGGTGAGGTGCGGTGCACCACCACGAAATATAAAACGGATTAGTTCCTCCCATCTTTACAGCTTGAATTAGTGGCCAAAATATTTTTAATTCCAGAGCTGTGGCACAATTAGTGACCATTAAAACCACCATACATTAGTTCTTATGCGTTCTAAGTACAAAAAGGCAACTTGAACTCAGTGAGACCGCCGTGTGACAGTGATTTAGAAAACTATGTTAATGTAGTCTGGTTATTTTAATTTATCTGCGTTCTTTATAAACCGAAGTACTTTGAAGCTAATACTGGGTCAGCGAGTGCGACAGATCGACAGATGAGGGCTTCGGCGATGCGATGATCGATAGTCTGAGTGACGCAGTTCTCACAAACATAGAACCTGACCCTGTTGTGCTTTGTCCATCGCAGATCCCACGTGCATTGTTCTGGAATTGAACACGAGTTTCAGTGTCGAAAATCCTGTGTCTCATCACCAGATGCATTATGACAGAGTTAGCCGGACATATTCCAACAGTTTGCATTTAATATCTGCATGCATATACTTCCTTATCTCTTAGCACGGCCTTATCGCCACAACATTGCGGTGCGGAGTTTCATGTTAGGGGCGTCAGCCCTGTTAAGTCAGGTGGTAACTATATGCACCATCTGCTTTAACAATTATTGGATCTGCATTTTCCCACACGCTGTGTATTCAATTGTTTCGTGTGATTCTGGGAATAAACAGCAATTATTTCTCTAAACAGCTTTTACCAGTTGTCGTCATGGAGACACGTTATTCTCTTTGAGGTTTAAACTGAATGTATAAATATTACTATTGATTGTTTTTAGTAATTCGTTTTCTTTTTAAGCGTTATTTAGCAGAGATTCGATTTCGGACGGTTAGAGATGTGATGGAATGACCGCATTCAAGTTTCTTTGTGCTGAGACCAAAGTCGAGCTTCTGTTAACAGTGTAACGAACATTAGGTTTTCATAAAACATTGGGACATCAACCGAGAAAGTAGTGTTATGGACTTTTTAAATAATTGGTTAATAGATCGATCTTTTACGTTGCTTGAACCTCGATCTGATTATACTTTATTTATATATACATCTCGGCTTCATTGATATCTATCTGGCTGCAGGCTCGAACAGAACGGCTAATATTTATCTCCGTCATCAAGAGTAAGGGTAGGTCATTAGAAATTCTAAGCTGACGACACGGGAATTCTCTCGTTAAATGTAATCGAACGAGTGGGTTTAGGTCTATGCATGACGTAGCAGTTACTTCTCTGTCTTGCCGCATCGTCTCTCGTGGGAGCAACTGCTAAACTTCGTGATGAAGAGACGCCCTCAGGAATTGAAAGGAAAAGCCATTCATAATTAAATGAGAAATCAGAGGGTATATGAGGTTTCGCAGATTTTAAGTAATATATTCAGATATTCT